TGCTTATTTACTTCCTGGAACAGGTGTCACATAGATGTCATGTTACCCAAGTGCTTCAGACACTGAGAGAATATCACCTGTTTGCCAAAACAAAAAAATGTGACCACCAGATAATTTCTTTCTTGGGTTATGTTGTAGGACCAGGAGAAGTACGGATGGAGGAGAGCAAGGTACATGCAGTGCAAGACTGACTAACTCCAACCATTGTAAAGGAACTTCAAAGATTCCTAGGCTTTGTGATCTTTTACAGGAAATTCAACTGGAAGTTCACCTCCACTGCAACCCACCTAACCACTATGACCAAGCAAAAGTCCTTACGATTCACCTAGACAGGGGAGGCATAAGCCACCTTTCAAGAATTAGATACACTTTTACCTCGGCCCTGATCTTCAAGCAACCCGATCTCACTCTGTCCTTGACAGTTGAGGTAGATGCGTCAGAGGTAGGAGTCAGAACTGTGACCTTGCAGTGCCATGGTTTGCCTTCCATGTGCTCACCAGACCACAGTGACTGAGACCATCCTGTTTTTCTCTGTCAAGGTAGCTCTGGTACATTGAGAAATCATGGACTGACTCCAAGACACCCATCAGACAGCCCCCGGTCCTCCAGACACTCCGGTGGGAAAGCAGTACATACCTTTGGTAATTCATGCCCAGTTATTACAATTGGTACACACCTTGTTGAACTCTGTCACCCTGGAATAACCTGGACACTGAACACCCTTTCCTGCAAGTTCTGCTGGCTATCAATGATAGGTGATTTTCATTATGTACGCTCTTGTCCTATATGTGTTTGTTTCTCATCAAAGCCCTGGAACAACTACAGATTCCCCAAAGACCATGGTCCCATATTGCCATGGACTTTATAACTGACCTATCCCCCTCACAGGGGTACACTACCATCCTGGGGTTGTAAACAGATTTTCTAAGATGCCGCTTGATGCCTTTCTCTTGGTTGCCTGCTTCAATGTCGCTTGCTGAATGTCTCGTTGACCAGGTCTTCTGAGTCTTTGGGATTCCATAAGACATTGTGACATATCCCAGACCCCAGTTCATGTCCAGGGTCTGAAAGGCCTTTTGCACCTGACTGGACACCATCACCAATAAAATGGTTAAACAGAATGCCTAAACCAGGAGAGTTTTTTCGACATTTTCGACCTCCGATTCTTGCCTGTGTGTTTCTCTGGTTTTGGTTGTTTCGCTGATTGCCTTGCCGTCACCGACCTTCTGCATTCACCTGCCTTTTACCTTTTGGACTCTGTTTTTGGCTTGCTTCCCTGTTCTGCTTCACTGGTTTTGACCCTGCCTGTTGGACTTATCATTCCATGTTAACCACCAACCAGCTCTGCACTTGGATCCTCTCAGTGTCTTCATTACAGTAACTCTGACTAAAAACCTTCATTTCACAATTTGCTTTTCTTGCTGACTACTATTCAGGGTTTTATTAGATGATATCATTTTATTACGTTTTGAAATATTGATTTCAAAAATCATATATAAAGCATGTAAAAGCACAATAAACATATCCATTAATATGGCATTTCACACACTACAAGTGTTTCATACTTGTTTTTAGCAAGTATTATTATGAAAAAATATTTTATATTTTAATTTAAGTACTTGACTGACAATTGCAAGAGTTAAATAGCTCTACATATTTGTGATGAGAGTCTTTTTTACTATTTAATAATTTAAAATAAATGTATACAAAAGTTACGTATTTGAAGATTTTGAAACTACATATGAAGTGAATTATATAACATTAACAGATGTATTTTGTGATGTTACAGCACTATTTATATCTTATACTTTTTATATCTTATACTTTTTATATTGTTGTTCTGTAAGAAAAAACTATTTGGTTTACAGTTTACAGATTAACACTTTTAGATCTTTTTCAGCAGCTTTACATTTGACAGTGTATGAAATTTGACTACTATAAGAAAACTGTGAATAACAGTCACAAGTTACAAACATTTGCTGAAATTGCCATGAAACAATTTAATTTATAGAACATGGCAATATTAATTGAAAATTGCACAGTGGTAGATCCTGTGCAGTTGCCTACCATAGACATAATGCATGAGTGTAATCATCATGCATGAGTGAAACGTATCATTCTTGACCTCACACAGGGCTCTTCCTGAAACCAGATGAAGGTCACAGTCAATCTGACTAGATGGGTGAGCCCTTAATGTGCTAATCTTTCTTCATCAATCATCCAGGTACTCATCACCTCATCCCAGCTGTGACGTCATCAGAGGTGCCACACAGCCACCCACTCAGCAGAGGCAAACCTTGGCTTGATCAGTGGAGCACACCGTCCGTGAGTGATTAGATTTCAGTGAGGCCACTTTGCCTCCAAACAGCATTCACTGTTGCCATGTGATTAAAACAGAGGGTCACTGAAAAGAGACATCAGATCCCATCGGAAATGACCACTTATTGTAATTGTCGATAGAAGCGGTGTGATGTTACACCTACAACTGAACCTCAATGCCACTTTTATTTAGGTGCAGGTTTACTTAGGGTGACCAGATAATCCATGTCAGGGAGGACACTTTGAGCTACTTCGGGCTTTACAAACTACTTTCAAACTGAAAGGCCCCTGTGCTTGGCTAAATAGTTCAGCTCTTCCTGTGCTTTGACTGGTATGTTTCCTTGAGTGAAAGACTCATCCAGATGTTTCACATTAGCATTAGTGACACATGCATGATTATAGGAGACTGACCAATCAGCACACAGCAAGAACTCAGCGCTTAAGTGAAATCCAGGTCCCTTTAATTGAAATGGTAATTTACAATTCCTGTCCTAGCTCAGAGTGTCCTCCCTGACATGGATTATCGGGTCACCCTAGGTTTACTCAGAGATGTACATTCTGTCCTCCTAGTGCCCCAGACACCGATTAAAAGGGAGGGGCCTTGAACAATTAAGAACCATAATAATTTTCTGGTGGGTGTGTTTGTGTATATGTTTGGTTTAGAAAGAGACTTTCTTTCCTGCACTACTGAACAAAACGCCTTGAGCGGTAGGACCCAGAGGACCTTTAACGTCTACCAACACTCTTGGACAAGCGCACCTCAAGAGACCTCAGCCAAAAAGGGCGTAAGAACCTTTCCAGAGCGATTCAGTCGCGCTCTACAGAAGCTTAACACTGAACCCATTTAAATTAGCTTCTGACACTAACAGGAAAGTGGAATGGATCTCCTTACCAAAACTTTTCATATAAGAGGTCTTAGCAACTTTTCTTTGTAACACTTGGCATGACAATGTTTCTTGCGACAACGCGTGGACAGTGATTGAAGAGAATCGTCCGGGAGCGCAAGATGAGCGCATCAGTAGCCGTATATAGGAATATCTACACGGAAGATCAGTTCAGACAGTCGTATGGTACTGAAGTTGCCCGCAGTGAGCGACTGCGGGACAAACTGGCCGAGAGATGCAGGTGCTCCCGGGCGGCGTGGCTCCACCTGCTGAGAGAGCGGGTCCCGATTTTCAGCTGGCTGCCCAAATACAAGCTGAGAAAGTGGATATTAGGAGATACAATAGCAGGATTAACTGTCGGTATCCTTCACATACCTCAAGGTGCGTTAGATTGATACTTTTGTCACATAATTAATCGGTAAATTAATTTGTTTATTTGTGCTGAAATTATTTTCATACTTAACTGAGAACGGAATGCTCGGAGCAGTAAAATATCTACATATTACAAGCAAATTATTAGATATCATTTATTATTTATATAAAGATGTATTTCACAAAGTTATATTTAGCTTTCCACACTGAAGGCGCGTTTCTTCATATAGCAGCTTTCTCATAGGGTATCAGTTATTATCGGGATGACTAAAAATATTAATAACGATTATTCCTGCAAACACATTAATTCTGTCAGGCCGGTTACAGGAGGTATATTAGTTTGTGGTAACTTATAATAATGAATCTACTTTAAATGATGATGATGATTACTACTAGTAGTAGTACTACTAATAGTAGTAGTATTTTGCTTTTTACCTGTATTCTTCATTCACAACGATCATAAAATGAAAATAATTACTGTTAGCTGAGATGGCAATTACGTAACATGTAAATAACGTTCGCAGTATTATTTTTTGAGACTTAATACATGATTATTTTTATCTTTAAATATAATTAAATGCAATTACTTGATCTTCTATTATCCTTTTGTAAAATTTATTTTAACAGACGGGCCTGTTAATGTATTCCCTCATTTAATTATTTTAATTAGTTCATTTAATTTGACGCCTTTTAAATTATAGGACACATTACGGTCCCCGTGCAAGGTACATAAAATGTATTTTGTCTTAGTAAAAAATAAATGAATGAATGAATGAAGAAAAGTGTGTAAATACATTTGCCTGAATATACTACTTGGAACAGGTGCATGTGAAATTGGTAACCATACTGTCTTCATTTTTAATAACTGCTTAGAAAATACATATATAGTAAGTTTGGGTCATGTGTTTGCAGCAAGTTCAGGAGCTTTGGTTTGTGCATCAGAGATTCCATCCTCTGTAGATGCTTTTTCAGCACCTTTATCTGCTCCTGACTAATTGCCAGTTGTTGTACTAATAGGAGAATCAGCACAATGTTCCTAAACCAAGGAAATGACCAGCTCCAGATGAACCAGATATTCTTAATAAACTTAATTAATCTGCCGTGTTTAGAAGTCAAAATGGAGATAAATACATAAAAGTGACCGGGATCAGTTAGTTACTATGGTGATCTATATAATTTTCAATGAAGATACTTGTGGGTTTGGTTGAGATTAGGGTCTGTAGGTCTGCTCTTAATTTATTAACTGAGTTATATCTTTAATCTGCGTTATATATGTTGGCATAAGTGCGTCTCATAACTGAAAACGTATCAAATGTACTAATAATTAGAAAATACTGTACAGAAAAGTTTAACTTATACACCCACAGATAAAACAATACTAAATCTCAAAGAAAAATTATTATTTACAAGCCTACTTAAATATAAAATTATACTCACAGATCACTCACTATAATAGGATGATTTTGGTGTTGGTCTCTGAGTCCCGTGTTGTATAGAAGGTGGTTTACAGAGACAGACCTGTGAGGTAGACTGTCTTGTGTAGATGGATTTGACTGACTGACTGATTAAATGAGCCTCACCTCTATGCCCCCCTCCCTTTGTACAGGAATGGCATTTGCCCTGCTGACTTCAGTAGCCCCCATCTACGGCCTCTACACCTCTTTCTTCCCTGTCATCCTCTACATGCTCTTTGGCACGGGTCACCATGTCTCCACAGGTCAGCACAGCTGTTTACTTATGTAGACATGCATAAATGAAAAACTGTATATGGAACGCAATATATGCTGTGTATTCTGCTTGCTTAAAGTCTGTATTAAGTTGTTCGGTGCGTGTCTATGTGTGTGAGTCAGGTACCTTTGCGGTGCTGAGTCTAATGACCGGCTCTGTGGTGGAGCAGCTGGTCCCTTCACCCCTGCAGCTGAACAGCAGCAGCACGGAAGAGGCAGACTTCGAGGCGCAGAGGATCGGCGTGGCCTCCGCAATCGCCTTCCTGTCTGGAGTTATGATGGTAGGAATGTGACTCTCTAGCCCCTCCGAGGGGCAATGAACGCAGTGTCCTGGCTTCAGGGTTGTTTAATTGACATCTGTGTAATACTGACAAACAAGTAATGTTTCTTTTCTGTTCCCCCTTCACCCCGACTCCTCTAGATCTGTATGTTTTGCCTGCAGCTGGGCTTTCTGTCTACGTACCTGTCAGAGCCCATAGTTAAAGCCTTCACAAGTGCTGCTGCTTTCCATGTCACCGTCTCCCAGCTACAGAGCATGTTGGGACTCAGGCTGCCTCGCTTTACGGGCACCTTCTCTCTCTTCAAGGTGAGGCAGCAACAGTCCTGGCCAAAAGTCTTGAGAATGACACAAGTTTTGGTTTTCACAAAGTTTGCTGCTTCAGTGTTTGTAGATCCTTTTTTTCAGATGTTTCTTTGGTATACTGAAGTATAATTGCAAGCATTTCATAAGAGTCAAAGTCTTTTATTGACAATTGCAAGTTTATGTAAAGAGTCAATATTTGCAGTGTTGGCCCTTGTTTTTCAAGATTACTGTGATTTGCAGTCAATCAATTTCTGGGCCAAATCCTGGCTGATGGCAACCCATTCTTGCATAATCAATGCTTTGAGTTTGTCAGAATCTGTGGGTTTTTGTTTGTATACCCTTTTGAGGATTGACCACAAGTTCTCAATGGGATTAAGGTCTGGGGAGTTTCCTGGCCATGGACCCAAAATATCAATGTTTTGTTCCCCGAGCCACTTAGTTGTCACTTTTCACTTATGGCACAGTGCTCCATCATGCTGGAAAAGGCATTGTTCATCACCAAACTGTTCTTGGACGGTTGGGAAAAGTTGCTCTTGGAGGATGTTTTGGTACCATTCTTTATTCATGGCTGTGTTCTTAGGCAAAATCGTGAGTGAGCCCAGGTCTGCTGAGAGTGACGCAAGACTGATAGTAGTGCTCACCTTTTCTTCTCCGGACAATATTTTTTCCTCAGATTCATAAGAAAAAATGACTTTACCCCAGTCCTCAGCAGTCCAATCCCTGTACCTTTTGCAGAATATCAGTCTGTCCCTGATGTTTTTCTTGGAGAGAAATGGCTTCTTTGCTGCCCTTCTTGACACCAGACCATCCTCCAAAAGTCTTCGCCTCACTGTGCGTATAGATGCACTCACACCTGCTTGCTGCCATTCCTATGCAAGCTCTGCACAGGTGATGCCTCGATCCTGCAGCTGAATTAACTTTAGGAGATGGTCCTGGCACTTGTTGGACATTCTTGAGCAACCTGATGCCTTCTTCACAACAATTGAACCTCTCTCCTTGAAGTTCTTGATGATGCGATAAATGGTTGATTTAGGTGCAATCTTGCTAGCAGCGATATCCTTGCCTGTGAAGCCCTTTTTGTGCAAAGCAATGATGACTGCAAGTGTTTCCTTGCAGGTAACCATGATTAACAGATAATGAACAATGATTTATAGCACCACCCTCCTTTTAAAGCATCCAGTCTGCTATTCCAACTCAGTCAGCAGGACAGAGTGATCTCCAGCCTTGTCCTCATCAACACTCTCACCCGTGTTAACGAGAGAATCACTGCAATGATGTCAGCAGGTCCTTTTGTGGCAGGGCTGAAATGCAGTGGAAATGGGTTTTTGGGGATTAAGTTCAGTTTCATGGCAAAAAGGGAATTCATCTGATCACTCTTCGCATAACATCTGGAGTATTTGCAAATTGCCATCATAAAAACTGAGACAGCAAACTTTGTGAAAGTTAATATTTGTGTCATCCTCATAACTTCTGGCCATTGTCGTACAAGGTGTTATTTCACGTGTTATTTCAGTATGTACCAGATAGCTAGCAAAAGGCTACATGATAATTAAGATGTTTGTTGTAATGACAAGGATCCTGATTTGAATATGATGGCCAGTCCTGTAATTCCTGTTATATCAGTCAAGACATGGCATTTTAGCTGTAACCTGCTGGCGGTTGAGGGCCTTGCTGAATGGTCCACAGACAAGTGGTTGTTCTGCTAAGGCCAAAGCTTGATCTGACAACCTTCTGATCACGGGCATAGAGGCTTAACCCGCTCAGCCACTCACCCCCCCCCCCCCAACAAAAAGGGGTGCAATCAAGGGACAGAAGCAGGCAGAACCAGAATCCTTTTATTTACCATGTGCAAGTACAAGGAATCGTACTAATTTTACCCCATAAGAAAATCAGAAACTTAAAAAAACTGTTGATAAGGAACATTGCTTGATAGCACACATCAGCTTTACATATCACATAAATTAATGCTATTATTCATCAAAGTTGATTGAGTTAGTGGAGCTTGGTATATGCTGCTGTGGCCGCAAAATCATGGAAGTTTCAGAGGAGACTTGAAGTGTAGGTGGGAATAGTGATGGCTCAGCTGCCAAAACTCCTTTTGAAAAGGAGCTACTGGGGACAAACAAGGTAAAAAGATGTCGGTGGTGGGGTGGTACTTTGGCAATTTTACGTCCAACACTCAACAGACTGGTACTGTAAACTCCGCCAAGTTCTTGTGCCAACTAAAACTCGAAACACTGCCAAACAATTTCATCACCAGAAACTTTGCCATTCAGCAGAACATTCAAAATGCATGTGCTTACAGTCAGACACCAGCAATTACATTTACATTTACATTTACATTTACAGCATTTGGCAGACGCCCTTAGCCAGAGCGACTTACATAAGTGCTTTAAGACTCTACAATGAATTTTTCCCGATACTAGCTCAATAAAACCAAGGCTATGAATACCATCGATTTAATACTCTGTTGGGAAAGTGCGTTTTTTTTTATTTTATTTTATATAAAAGGAAAAAACTGAGTATAATGCCAGAAGTGCTAATTCAGGTATTTCTGGAAAAGGTGTGTTTTAAGTCGTCTTTTGAAGACATTCAGTGACTCCGCTATTCGGACATCTAGGGGGAGTTCATTCCACCAACTTGGTGCCAGAACAGAGAAGAGCCAGGAGGTGTGTCTTCCTTGTGCCTTGAGGGGTGGTGGGACCAGTCGAGCAGTGCTGGAGGATCGGCGAGATCGTGGTGCAGTGCGGGGTGTGATGAGGTCTTTTAGGTAGGATGGAGCCAGATAATTTTTGGCTTTGTATGCGAGCATCAGTGTTTTGAATCTGATGCGGGCAGCCACAGGAAGCCAGTGTAGGGAGCGCAGCAAAGGAGTGGTGTGGGAGAACTTGGGAAGGTTGAAAATAAGTCGAGCAGCTGCATTCTGAATCAGTTGGAGGGGACGAATGACGCTCAGTGGTAAACACGCTAGAAGCGAGTTGCTGTAGTCAAGGCGGGAGATGACGAGGGACTGAACGAGTATCTGGGTAGCCTGTGTGGAAAGAAATGGACGTATCCTTCTGATATTAAACAGGAGAAACCGACAAGAGCGGGAAACGTTAGTGATATGTGAGGAAAAGGACAGACGATTGTCCATGGTAAATTAGGGTTTCTACTTTCACTCTGAAGAAAGGGGGAGGGGTGCCACTCCCCAGGTCCCTGAAAATGAATCAGAAAAGAAAATTGTGAAATATGGGACAAGTTGTGTCCCATATTGGTTCAAAACATGATGATTCCATAAAAATACGGGACAGCTAACAACTCTACCAGCAATGTCAAATCTGTCCCCTGGAATGAGCAACGAGACAGTCAAAAAAAACATCTAGCAATAAACTCTACAGTCCGCTCATGACTAGTGTTATGCCCAATGGCTACATTGTATTTGTGTATGATTCGTTTATTAATATCAGATTTCAGTGTGCAGACCATTCAGTGTCTTCTTTCATTTTCTGAATCTGTATATGGGCAATTTTGGGAGAATTTTAAGCAAAAACATACTTGAATTATATTGTGATGACTGCTGATATGAAGAAATGACAGTGACAAAACATTTTGCCAAACCAGTCATCCCTAAATACTGTCAAATAAATAATAAAAAAAAAACAATAAATAGCTTCAAGATAAATAAGAGAGATAGAGAATAAGAGAATGGGCTATCACTAAAAATGCAAACATGCAGGCATATAAATAAGGGTGAGATGACAAGATGTGGGCTACAGACAGTTTGAGGGGTGTGCAGATAAGCTTTGAGTCAGTGGGAGTATATGCAGTGCATAGAGATTTGCTGTAGTCTTATAATAAATAAATGCTGATGCCTTGAGATACATACAGTATAAAATTATATTATTGTAATGGGAGGCTGTGTTACTGGAGTAAACATTCTGTGCTGATGACAGACCCTGGCCTCCGTGCTGGAGAACCTGCCCCTGACCAACCTGGCGGAGCTGGTGATCTCCCTTGTCTGCCTGGTTGTCCTCGTGCCGGTGAAGGAGGTGAACACGCGGTTCCGGCACCGCCTCCGCACACCCATCCCAGTGGAGATCCTCACTGTGAGTCTGAAGCCGTGTCTGCTTGGGGAGAAAAGGAGACACTTAATCAGCAAGGTTCCTGGCCCTGTGAATTTCATCACTTAATTACCGGACCCGGATTGGCTCGCGATGAATTTGTTAGAAATACAAAGAGTCACGGGATTAAAAAAGGTTTTACGTTAGATTGTGTTTTAGCACGTTGCGTACTGATTGTTGGTCCGATACTCAGAATAATAGAAAAGATTTCCCCTGTCAGATGACCATAGTAACTGTTTCAGTTTAATTATCAAAATAGCATCAAGAATGGTGACCTCCTGGTTAAAATTATAAGTTTAAATCCACATAAATAATACTTCGTTTTCTGGGTGACACCCAGTGTTCCCTGACTCTCTAAGCTTTTAGTAAGCTCTGCATCATGTATAAGTAGGTAGCTATGCTTTAGGCTGTTACCAGGTTACCAGGTTACCTGCCAGGTTAAGCACCAGTATCACCCAGGGCCTGTTGTTCTTGCTTCCCCCTGCAGGTTATCACCGCCACAGCAATTGCTTATGCTTTTTCATTGGACTCAAGATACGACATCGAGATAGTGGGAACCATTCCAGCAGGGTAATCATTTTTAAGGTTTTCCACATAACCGTAAGTTATTTAGAAAGTGTGTTTATATATTTTTACCCAAATATTTTTGGACTTTTTGAAAAAGTACAGCTGTGAGTCCAGGGTGAACCACCATAGATTATGGGGGGTGGGAGGGTTGTAGCCCCCCCCAATAATCAAAATCAGCCAATAACAAGCCCCATTAAATGGGTGGAGACCTCAACCACCCCCCCCAATGCTCAATCCAAAGTTTTCTGGGGCCCCAGGCAATGCGTCACTTGGGAGGCCCCTGTTCTCACCCTATTAATGATCATTTCCCCTCCCCCACAACCCAGAAAATTTGGGGGCCTGCGGTAACTGCCTGTTCGGCCTATAGCTGGAACCGGCCCTGTTTGAGTCCTTATTGTTAGACTTAGCTGAAAATGAACTGTTTTTAAAACTGGCTTTGCTTCTGTTGGTAGTTTCCCGCAGCCTCAGCTGCCTGCTCTGGATAAGCTTCCGCTGGTTGCTAGAGACACCGTCGCCATAACCTTCGTGGGCTACGCTGTGTCCGTCTCACTGGCTATGATATATGCCGACAAGCATGGATACTCAATACATCCCAACCAGGTACAGCCAGAGCCACACAGTCCCGCACTAGCAAGTCCTAGAGAAGTCAAGCTTCATGCCTGTGCATTTGTGTTCCAGGAACTTCTGGCACATGGAATCTCCAACACTGTCTCCTCGCTTTTCACCTGCTTCCCTAGCTCAGCCACTCTGGCTACTACCAACATCCTGGAGAGTGCAGGGGGATATACACAGGTAGATCTGTCTACTTCCTTTTGCAGCCCTTCAAACAGATGTTTTTCACCCTCCTTGTTAAAAAAAGAAATGAACGGACCAAGTACCTAATAACATCTAATCACATTAACTGACCATTTAACTAGAAAGTTGCAAAGTCCCAATGCCAAGAAAACCAAGTCAAAGTGATTTGCAGATACAAAAGATCACTGAAACTTACCCATTAGTCCAGTCATGTGTATAGACGTTTTCCTGAAGATGCTACAGAAGTTAATCTTCCCACTGATTTGGTCTCTTTTAGTAGATGATTTTAAGTAGTCCTGCAACATGACTTCATAAGTCCAGAAATAATGCTATTTTGTAAATTTGAGTTGTCTAAATTTGAATGTGATTTTCCTTTGTCTCCAGCTGTCAGGCTTGTTCACTAGCATGGTGGTGCTAATTGTGTTGCTGTTAATTGGCCCCCTCTTCCACTTCCTGCCAAAGGTAGGATCCTAGATGACAGAAGACTTAGCAGTGTTTATGTGAAAGAGAGAGATGGAAAAATAACTTGTTTGTCAGGCCAGCTGACTGATAAATATCTCTGTTCCCTGTTGTCTTCTCAGGCAGTGCTTGCCTGCATAAACGTCACCAGCTTGAGGCAAATGTTCCTGCAGTTTAAGGATCTGCCAGATCTATGGAGAATAAGCAAGATTGATTTTGTAAGTGCCTCTTGCTCCATGCATTAACACACAGACACACACACAGGCTTCCACTTTGTTGGGGAAACTTACACCTTTGCAATGTGGTTGAAGGTGGTGTGGCTAGTGACCTGGTTGGCAGTGGTGGTCCTCAATGTTGATCTGGGTCTAGCTATTGGTGTTGTCTTCTCCATGGTGACAGTCATCTGCCGGACGCAGAGGTGAGTGGTGGACCATGATTTGAAGTAGTCCTGCAACATGACGTTATAAGTCCAGAAATAATGATACAGTCGAACCTCGGTACAACGTACCCCGTTTATAACGTTTACACCAATACAAAGTTCAAATTTCAATGTCCCGAATTCGCGTAATGCATTATTCCATTTGCCGGTATCGCTTAGAACGTACACCTTTACAGCGTAAACTTCGATATAACGTATGATTTTCAGAGGAAAATAGGCAAACTGACCTTTGTTACAACGTACAGCCTCATCTTCCGAGTGCACGCACAATTCAGAATCAGCTGTTGCCGGCCAGCTACATCGCTTAGCTACGCCTAACTGTATGAAGCCCCCTTTTTTTCATGGTTTTGCATGGTGTCATGGTATCGAAATTTATTTCAGCCAATTGAATCATACAGGTGCATAATTTCGGTTTGACATTCGATTACAGTAAGGCGATTTGAACGATAAGCCGGTGTTCTGTCGATATATGCTACCTTGTCGAAAAATGCTAACATGGTGCTAATCGATAGCCCTAACCCTAACTCTTACCCTAACCCTAACCCCCCAAAACCCCTAAAACCCTTACCTTAACCCTAACCCTAACACCTAAAACCTAACCCTAATCCCAAGACGGTGGGATTTTGCGTTTTTTTTTCGACAGAACACCAGCAGTGGATTTTGCGTTATGTCGGCTGTCTATGAGTAACTGATATTAACCTAGTTTGAAGAATATAGTTCCTATTCAAAATAGGAACTATATTCTTCAAACTACACAAGCTGTATATCATAGTGTCAACTTGAGGGGTGTTTTATAAAAGTTTTTTTATATGCATTTTGTGTTCCATCATTAATTTTGAGGGACTTGGTTATAACGTACTATGGTTATAATGTACAAATTCTTAATGTCCCCCGAGGTACGTTGTAACGAAGTTCTACTGTATTTCTTAAATTTGAATTGTCTAAATTTGAATGTGATTTTCATGTGATGTAGTTACATGTCATGGCCACACTGTGCAGAGGGGCAGTGTTGCCTTTGCAATGCACTGCAACCCAAGTGACTTCTTTCAGGGCTGACTGCTCAGTGCTGGGAAGGGCTTCAAACACAGAGATCTACAGGCCCATTGAGAATAACAACAAGGTGAAAGCACATCGTATGACTTTCCTTTCCATCTTTGCATCATTAATAAAGCTTTAGTATGCGTGGTGTGTTGTGGAGTCCCTGACTGGCAACATAATTACAGAATTACTTCAATAGTAACTATGAAATGTTAGGAGTTATTCATAGCTACATAAATACTTAATCAAATGCAATTATTTTACAAATTAAATGTTAATTGATCAGTAACCAATCTACAAGATTATATGATAATAATCTGATGTAGAAACTTTTTGCACTTACACTTATTGAAGCCCTTAATTTTAACTTTCATAATTTAAGGAAACTAGTAAACTTTAGTGAGTTAGAGGCATTTTATTTAGTACATAATGTACATAATTTTATACATAAAGCACACAGTGGATATGGTTAATTAAGTAAATGTTGCTGTGGCATGTTGTAAAGTCTTGAGTAATAATACAATTCAGTAACTAAATACTAAATAAATGTCAGCATTTACCCTAATGCTGTGCAGAGACCTATTGAGGGGCAGGTGCAAGCCTCAGTACCTTTCAAGGGAAGCACTTTAAAAGATTTAGGCAAAAGAAGGAATTGCTTAGGCCAGAGGTGGCCAATCTTACTGTATGCAGGTTTTTGGGATAACCTGTAGGTCAGCTGTTCAAACCCAGGTGTGAGGACTCTTCAGCCAATCAGTCCTCTAATTAGTAATCTAATTAGGGAGTTGCAGCGAAGACCCGCATACACACCGGCCCTTTGCGGATAAGATTGACCACCACTAGCTTAGGCAATGTCATCGCCCTCCTCTGCACATGCCTGTTTGCTATACTGGGTGAGGCACCTGCTCAGTATACTCACTTCAGTATATAATCACTTACTGACCATCGCACTGAAACTCAGCTGGTTTTTCAATTTATCCTTTTGTTTCTCTCAGTGCTGCGAGGTCCCCGGAGTGAAGATCCTGACCTACAATGGGCCCATATATTATGGAAACCGTAGTTTCTTCCGGGAGGCCATGACTCGGCTGCTGAGCCTGACCCCGGAGAGGATCCGAAGCATAGAGAAAGCCAGGAAGGCTCGCGAGAGAAGGGACAGAGATGCCATCCCCACTGTGGTCAGATTCTCATACTTATATCCAGTGGAATCTAGACTGTTTAGGGAGGTTCTGTTGGGTTAAACTAATGATCAAAACTAATGGACAAGTAATACTTTAAAATAACCAAATGTGATTATGGATTTTTTTTGCATCTTAGTCACTTATATCATCATTCTGTGTCGTTCAGGAAAGCGGCGTGGCTAATACATCTTTTTCTTCTGAAAACGAATTCTTCAAATCAGGTGAGTTTAATTTAATACATTGTAATAAAAGAGCAAACATTTTTAAATCAAAGAAATCTGTGAAGACTAATTTTACATATAGTATTTATCAAAACAATTACATAGCAATGTAATTGTTATTTACTTGTAAATATTATAATTATATTCTTTTAAAAGGGCATATATTTAGTAGTATGAATCGATCCTAAAAAAGTTTGATTCCATGGATAACAAATATGGTTTGTATATTTTTCTTGTTTTAAATTATTTCATGGAATTGCACATAGTTTTCAGCTCCAGAATGTACTGATATGATTTGCTTTGGCGCTGGACAGACAATGCAGCTGACAGTGAGGTTCAGGTGGCGCTCATTGACTGCAGCAGTGTGAATTTTGTTGATGTTGCTGGAGCCAAGTTATTCATTCAGGTAATGTTAAGTGCAATGTAAAGACCGCTACATGTTTCATATCCTCACACAATCAGTAAAGCAATATTCTTACTTGTAAGAGTATTTTTGGTAACACTTTACTTGTAGGGGCACAAATAATGTAGTAGCACACAAGTAAGAATGTATTAATGTATTAATTAACCAGAAAGTGTCACTGATCCCTTCATTCACCTTTAATCAGTCATGATTAGGTTATTTCATGCAGTTATTATATTTGTTCATGAGTTACTAAGTTAAAGTAAGGAGTTACTGTATTTTCTTCCCAGATGTGTACTGAATGCCAGAAGGTGGGGATTCGCTTATACCTGGCAAACTGTAATGGTAGGTACAGTTAATCAGAATAAAATTTAATCTAGAAGTCAGTTGTTGATTCATTTCTTCTGTTAAAATTTAAGTCATGATCAACAGTTTGGCACAGTACTATTTTTAGTGCATTTTAAAATAACATTCTAAAGTTTTTTGACTAATCATCTTAGTGCATTTTTAAATAACATTCTAAAGTTTCTTTAACGAAATGACTGATACATCATTATTAATTCTGTAAATTTTATGTTATGATACCATTTTCTTACATTTATGTTTAGCATATTGTAAAATGTATAAGTTATATGTGTTGTTTATATAAACAATTGGAAATAGCTATCAGTAAATGCTTTGCTGGTATTTAAAATCTGATAACATTACATAAGAAAATGTGGTATAAAAATGATGATGAGCGCATAGGCAGGTTTATGTAGTTTGGTTTGAGACATGATGATGAACAGTCTACATTTGTCTCCTTAGAGAGAGTGTTGAAGATCCTGACCTCAAGTGGCCTGATGAACTACATGAATCCTCAGCACATTTTCGTTACGGTCCACGATGCGGTGGTCTACATTGAGCAGCAAAAGGTAAAAAGTCTTATGGATTTCTTCCTTATTTTTCAGAAGACATTAGGAGACGATTATGGATTCTTTGCCTTCAATTGAAATGAATAATGAAAGATTGCATGTTCTACAAAAATATTTGCCAGACTGAACTGGACATGCTTCTTTGGTAAAACTGAAAACAAAATATACCTGTAATGGATTTGGACAAATGTGCATACAGAGGTTGCATGTGCACCCTGTGTTGAACAGGTTTTCTCCAGCTACCTCTGAATTGCCCGTAGTGTATGTGCCCTAGGTTGAACTGGATCCTGTCTAGGATGTGACACCCCTGCCTTGTGCCCTATACTTTCTGGGATAGGGCTCCCTGGGATGGTATAAGCAGTTATGGATAGATGAGTGGATTGGCTCTGGACAACATGATCAGTTAGCAGAGGTGAAAATTTCAGGTCCAGAAAGTAAAAATCCAGACCAAGATTTTGTTTCAACCAACCAGTTGAGTGACTGTTGCTCATTTGCACAAAGTATATGTAACCCTGTAACATACTCTAGAGAATACATTCTATGTGTTTCTCACGAGTACACATTTACACCCAGTTGACTGCTGGGATTGTTGAGACAGAGGCTGCTGGGATTGCTGCACTGAGAGAGGGTGGTCTATACGCTGTGTACAGTTGTGTGCGTGTTGCAGAGGTTGTTTGGGATTGTTTGGGGTATATTTGTTTGTGTGTGTGTGTGTGTGTGTGTGTGTGCTCATACAGTTTATGTGGGTGGCTATTTTTTTTACTTTGGTCTGCGTGTGCGCTTGTCTTTCCTTGTTAATGAACAGTGCTAGTGTTACCAACAGCAAGTTGCAGCTGTGGGTGTAACATACTTGGCAAAATAAAGTGATTCTGATTCTGAAACTCTTTT